GTGACAACGGTGATGGTGGCGATGAGAACGATGACGATGATGATGATGATGCTGCTGATGATGATGATGATGGCTATGACGATGATGATGCTGATGATGATCATGATGATGGTGATGATGATGTCGAGGCTGATGATGATGACGGTGATGATGCATTGCGCCCATTCCTCGAGAAGCGGGCCAGGCCTCACGCGCGTCACTGACTGGTGGCCGCGGGTCGTTCTTTTCCTGGGGCTCACGGTCAGGAGCTCTGGCTTAGCGTGTCGCGCCACTGGCTCTGGCCCACCACGCTTCGGCGCGACACCGAGTCCACGCCCTGGCCCTAAGGCGCCGAGCCTTGCGCTGTCCGCTTGCAGGCCACAGCGCGCCGCTGGGGCCGTCGCCGCGACGCGCCAGGCAAAGTTCCCAGCCGTACCCAGCTTTTCGATTTTTTTTCGGCCTTTTTGCAGCCCAGAATCAGCATAGGTGTTAATTCGCAGTTTTTGTCCTGGATTTTGGTGGGAAACTCCTTGGTCTGACTTCCTTTCTGGTCCCGTCTGCCCCCGTGAACGCACAGGGTGCCGCACAACGTCCGCACGTTCGAAGGCGGTAGCATCCGAGCACGTCTCTGCGACAGGCTGTGTGTTGGCTCGTCGTGCTGTTCGCAGCTCAGAGTTTTCAGGCTGGGCCCTGCTGCGAGGTCATCCTCTATGAACTTCGCGCATCGCCTATGGAGTCGCTGTTGCTTGCTGAGTCTTGCCCGTGCCACCTTCCCTCCCCCCCCCTGGGAGCGGTGGCGGCGGCGCCTGCCTCCACTTCTGGCCGCGCGGCGTCCAGGCGCCCAAGAGGCGAAGAGGGAGGGGGGGAACGTCCGATGTCTGCAGGCAGGCCCGCAGGGAATGATTCCAGATCCCTCTCGCCAGGCGTCAGCGTCCCGAGACGTGCCCGACCTCCCGCGAAGCGGAGCGACAACCTGCCCGCTCGCAGGGCATGGCGTGCCGCCATGGCCGCCGCGGCGACACGCGAAGCAAGCGTTCCCAACCGTGTGGCGGATGCGGCTCTCTTCCGCGGAGGCTCGTGGACGGACTCTGGGGTCGCTCCCCCCCTCCCGCCCTCGCTCCCGGCCCGTCGCCCTCGCCGGGCGGCCTTGCGCCATGAGCGTCAAGCGTCGGGTGGCATTTTGGGTTCTTGGCGGTGCTCAAGCCTGGGCACGGGTCGCCCTCTTCTGAGGTTTATCCGCGCGTCCGCCAGGCATGGCACTGGACAGCGCCAAGGCCCTGAAGGCCATGGAGCAGATCGAGATGGCGATCAGGCTCTGCGAGTCCAGGACGAAGGCCAGCTGGGAGCCTGCCAGAGTAAGACGCGCGATCGAGCATATTCGAATTCTCACAAGACCAACGAGACCGGGGCGTCGACGCAAACCAGTGGGGACACGTTCGGCCTTTGTCTGCTTCGTCATCGCGACGTTTTCAGTGTATGTAGTACGCAAGTGTTCTCCCGTACAGCTGTCCGCACCACACCCACACCCAGCCCACCCAGCTATTGTTTGTTCAGATTCGCGGTGCAATGCGTCAAGTGTTTGTTTTCTGCCATCCATGTTGTAACCGCTTCCACTGTGCACGTGGCGCTTAGATATTCGAAGGTCATCTGGTCATCTTGTTATTTGTCGTCACGTCTCTAATGAGCCGCTCCCCCTCTACGAAGTAATCGGGGTCGCCGTGGTAACCGATGTGCCAAATACAAAAACATGTGCTATCGTCGGTTACCCTTTTGTTTGCAGTTGTTGCCACCGCGCGCCGTACGAACGCATGGCATGGAAAAGAAAAGAGTTCCCACTTGGGAGCACAAGTTCCAGAGCCCGCCAGCAGCAGCCGTGCGCCTACGTGGGACGTTGTCACACCTAGTGGAAATAGAGGACCGACAGTAAGCATACACCCTTTGGTGGGCCTGTGTCGCAGTGTTACGGGTCCCATCTCCACGAATATGGATTCCGTGTCGGCCTTGTGAGGCTTCTCAGGGATTGACCCCAGGTCGTTTGATACTTGGCCAGGAGCCTATCAAGCGTGCTCTCATGCTGGCCCCGTTCTGTTGCACGGGCTCCAACTCCATGAGCTCTGCTCCTGTTTAGGCTCCGCGGCACGTTTTCCTGGATCACTTATAAGAGTCGTGCTTTCGTGCAGGCCCAGCGGTTTCCGTAACTCAAGTTCCTAAGCGTCCGATGTCGTTCTGGGGTGGAGGCCGTACCAGGGAATATTGTTCCCGAGTTCCGCATGTTTTCTAGCAAGTCATTAGACTGTAGGTATCAACGATGCTTTCGAATCGAACCATCAAGGTCCTCGAGTGTATGGACACTTCTGGACTCGAGGGCTAGCTATGCCTGGTTGACATTGGCCCTTCGGATCCAAACGCACATAGGGAGAGCATCAGCGCATCAGGTTGCGACAGCTTGGCATTCTGGGATCCGTCGATTTGATCATGTCCGGGGTCGACCCTGATGCGTTCTTCCCTGGTACACCTTGAGGCATGTTCTTGTGTAGTCCCCATGCCATTTATCTTGAACGTGCCCACTGTTCCCTCAGCAGGTCCCGCGCATTTCTCCTGGATCGGTTCACAAGCGAGGACCCTAGCCCCGAGTAAGCCCAGGGGAATCCCGTCGGGTTTACAGCCGTGGGGATTGTTTGAACCCTGGGGTCCGATACGCGAATCGTTATGTGTTGACGTTGTGTTTTCATGGGGCCCGAACGCATGCAGCATGTTCATGCTCGCACATCGGTTTCGGACAGGCTGTCCCGCTGGAATCCCCCTATGAGAGTTATTGAATCGCTTCGCTCATTCCGCCGGCCTGTGATATGGCATCGCTGGTTTTTGTCTGTGTGTTCGTTGCCCATGTTGCGCTCTTGGGGGCGGGTGTCGTTCGGACGCGTTGCGTGGGGAGTTTTGATGGTGAAGCAGTTCCCTGGGGGTCGTCTCTCGATGGGGCGAAATAGAGTCGTCGTCAAGATGCTTCTTTGGGGGGCCTCTTGGGGTCTGTTGAGAGGCCGTTCGGGGGCGCCTGGGAGACATGTTTGAAGCCTTCTGGGGCTTCTTTTGGGCCTCCTGGGAGTCTCCTGGGGCCTCTTGGCGACATCTTGGGGCCTCTTGGAGGCCTCTTGGGGCCTCTTTGGGACCTCCTGGGCGCCTTCTGGGACGGAGGGCTCCATTTTTGAGTTCTCGGTATCCCTCCTGAGTCCCTCTTGGGCCCGTCTTGGGGCCTCTTGGTCCGTCTTGGGCGGCACTTGGGCCGTCTTGAGGGCTCTCTTGGGTCGTTTCGGCGCCGTCTTGGGAGCTTCGTGGGCCGTCTTGGAGCGGTCTTGGGGGCCTCTTGGGCCGTCTTGGAGCGTCCGGAAGCCGAAAAAGCCAGAACACAAAAAACATCGAAAAAACAAATGAAAATCAACGATTTTGGCCTCTTGGGGCTCTCTTCGGAGGCCTCTTGGAAGGCTCTTGGGGCGTCTTGGAGGCCTCTTGGGCTGTCTTGGGGGCCTTTTGGGCCGTCTTGGGGTCATCTTCGGCGTCTTCGAGCGCTCTTTGGGCGTCTCGGGGGCCTCTTGGGCAGTCTTGGGGGCCTCTTGGGGCACTCTGAGCGCGCTCTGGGGAGCCTGAGAGGCCGCACCCAGAAGGAAAACCATCTCTGAGTAGACTTGGTCGGGCGGTGGTCGGGGTACTTTTCGCCGGGGGACCCCCAGGGGCCGCCCCGCGCGCGCGAACTAGAAATACTGTTAATACTGTTAACCAGTTACCGGAGATCTTAGCACGCCCTGGCCCGTTGGGCCGGCGAATTTCCGTGTGAGCCCATTGGTGTTTCTCAGGGGTGCCAGGTTTGGAAACAGTTCAGCAGTTGAGGCCTTGAGGGTCATGCCTAGATAGTTGCGGCCTCTTGAGATCGTAAAGCAAGGGATATGTCAGCACGACAGGGTCTAACAAACATCGTGGTATCTGCTAACAGTCATCTTGATCCCGAGAAGGCCATTACTTAGCATTCACCTTCGTTCTCAGCCCATCAAACTTGGTAGCAATGCAGAATCCGAGAGAACAGGCATGATTGGTTGAATGTCTTGTGATCCGAACCGTGCAGTTATTGAGGGCCCCATCTAATATTTCTTCGGGACCTGTCGACGCCACACTGCTCCCGAACAGGTCCCTTGGCCTTTTCGTCTGAATTCACGCCGCATGCACGTTTCCGCCGAAGCCCTGGTCATATATTCCAGGATCGACGTACGTGAATCTCGTTCGATGGGAGGCCCCTCGGCACTCATCTGGGATTCTTCCACTCGGGTCTTTTCCTGCGCGAGACCAGGTGCGTTTTTGTTCCGCCCTCCAGCGGGAATAATTGTGTTGTGTTTCTCCAAGGACGTGACGTTAAGACGGAAGCGCGTGCGCAGATACAGCTGCATATTGCAGAGTATGTTGAAGTGTATCCGACAAGTTCCAGTGTTGTCAGTTGTGCTAGAGGCAACCGCTCGGGAAGTAGTGCCTCGGTCTGATTTGATTTCTTGTACGCGTCTTTGAATTTGAGTATGTTGCATTTGCGGGGACCGTGGCGGGAGTGCGACCCCCACGTTGTTCAGCAGTTATCTCTGAACACGTGTGAGACACTCATTCCAGCGGGTGCCGAATGTCGCTTAGTATTCTCTGGACGGGTGTTATCCAGTCGAGCATATGATTACGAAACCGTCTCCTGAAAAGTTGGGCAAGCATTTCCAAACTAATTTGCCGGAAACCGGAAAGCTGGCCCCGTTCCTTGAACACGTTAGCCCTTGCTGCGTGAACAACAGAAGTTGGCTCAGGCGCGTTGTCAGAACAGTCCAGGAAGCTGGCTCACACTTCGAGTGGGAGTTCCCTTGGTCACAATTTTGCCTATGATGCCCAGCCTGGTTGCTGACCACAAGCAACCTTGTGACCAGTGCGCTGCGCTCTCACAGGACACCTTCGAGGACAACTCCGTGGAGACCGCGGAGCCCGACCCGGTGCCGCCAGAAGAGGCCCCGCGCGCACACCCCGTGTTGCCCGGATATCTGACGGCAGGTGCGGGCGTGCAACGCTCGCCACGAAAAGGGGCCCATCCAGGCGCTTCGCCCCCCCGAGCTTTTCACCCGTTTCGGGCTTCGGGGGCTTCCCTCCGGGGCCATCAGCTAACCATTCGGGGTGGCACAGCGGTCCCAGGGAAAGCCTCCGGGGGATCCAGGGCCCGTTTCCACCAGGACTTGCCCTTGACATCCGCCAGTTGGGGCTATTTAGTAGCGAGGCTCCAGACGTCCCGACCCCTTCCCCAGGGCTAGCTTTCCGTCCCGGATCAATGTTGAATGGTCCCAGCGCCCGAAGACGGAGGGCGGAAATAGAGGAAGCAGCACCAGTCGAGAAAAAAATATGGGGGATGGTAGCGGCCTCGGAGCCTTGGCCAATGGAGAGAAGAGGGCGGAAGGGAGCGGGAGCTAACATATCGCCGGAGATGTGGGCTTTCGGGTCAGGACTCGGGTCTCCAGCATCCGTCGGGGACCATCCGGGCACCCCCACAAAACGCCCGCGACGGGGCCCAGCTGATGGAAAGCACCCCAGGCTTCCAAAAGGTCCGCAAACCTCCGCAAGAGCGTCGCTCCTCGAGTCGGCGACTACAAAGGGTATGGTTACGCCGGGTGTGGCTTGCGATCGGCACCGTTGGGGCCACTGGGGGGCACGACGCTGTCCTCGTCGGGCCTCCTCGGGGCGCGGGAGAACTCTATCGAGGTCCCCGCGCGCCCTCCGGGGTGCCCCCCCAGGATGTTCCCCAGGGTGCCGGTTGCAGACCACGCCCTGTGCAAACCACACCCTTTGGAATCGCCGATCTCGCGAGCCCCGCGCGACGCCTCGGCGCGACGCTCGGCGTGGCCGGCGGCCGAAGCCGCTCCAGCGCGGCGCGGCGAAGCGGAGGAGCGGGGCAGGGAGGCAGGGGGGGAGGGGGGGGGGAGGGAGAAGGAGGAGGAGAAGGGGGAGAAGAAGGAGGAGGAGGAGGAGAATAAGGAGAAGAAGGAGAAGGAGGAGAAGAAGAGAAGAAGGAGAAAGAGGAGGAGGAGGAGGAGGAGGAGGAGGAGGAGGAGCGGGGCCCTTGGCCGCAGATGGCAGGTGCGAGCGCGCGGCCGTCGGAGTTGGCCCTGGATCTCGTGGGAGGGACGGGGCTACAGTCAACCCGTATAGCTCGGAGGTTGAAAGACTTCCTACCCCTGACTCGTCGATTAGCGAATTGGCCGTTTTCGGTTCGCGAGATGGCGTCGCGGCCGTCATTTTTGCGGGTCCAGGTCCGTCGGTTTCGGTCCTAGGCCGTTTTCACTAAAGGGTGGTTTACTAAAGGGATAGTCGTCCACCGCCGAATTTTAAGGATGGGCAACCTTCCCAAAAGGTACCCTTGCGCCCTTGCCCCTCCGACCCATCCTCAGCGACTTTCTCTGGCCAGCCTCGTTCGAAAAACGATCACATGGGCCTCCAAGGCCCTTGCATCCTCACCGCGCATCTTTATGATACGGGTTGGCTGTAGGACGAGGGTAACCCGCTTTCGTACTGGTTCCATTGTTCGGCTTTTGGTTGTTTTTCGGGCGCAATTTGTTCGGCGTGTCCAACGCCGTCGTTTTGCCGTTTTCGTTTCCCTTGGTGGGGGCCTTGTCCAGATCACCGATTGTTTACCAGATCCGAACCGTTTTCGAACCGGCTCCGCGTCTCTCGGATCCCCGGACCTCCCAGGCCGTTTCGCTGAACAGTGTTTCACCGCTCCAGTGAAGAATCGTTTTTTCTCGGGCGGAGCTAGGACGAGGGTAAATCCGTTCCAGAGCGTCCCAGAACGCTCTCAGAGCGTTCTGCAACACTCTGAGAAGGCCGCGGCGCCCGAGACATCCTCCAGAGCCACCAGATTTCAAAGATTTTCAATTTATTTATCTTCACCAGATGTTATCCTCGTCCTGGCTTCGCCTTATTGGAGAACAAGCAATGCCATAAACATAAGAAGTCAGGTTCGCGCGGATTCCTCGGAACGGCGCTGCGCCCCCCCCCCCCTGGAGCGCGGAGCGCGCCAGGGGCGGCGCTGGAGGCGCCGTCAGGGGGGGCCCACCAACGTTTCGAGGAATTCGTGCGGACCTCCGAGTTGTCATGTTCATGGCCGGCTGGTCATTGTCATCGTCATCGGGCGAGCACGCGGCCGTCGGAGTTCACCTTGCATTTCGTGGGGGGGTCGAGCAGCGGGACATTTAGATTTTGGCGGCGCAAAAAAACGCGACGGTCGGTTTTTCTTTGCCATCGTCATCGTCATCGTCATCGGGCGAGCGCGCGGCCGTGTGAGTTGACCTTGAGTTTCGTGGGAGGCAGCCGAGCAGCAGTCAGGGGTAATGTCAGGAGGGATGGAATCAGGGGGATGCGTCGACCCACAATCATTCTAAAGGAGGCTGGGCGAAGGCGAGAGGTATCGAGCGCCTGTCCGCGGCCGTTTGTGTTCAAGTGGCTTGCCGATAAGATTTGATTGTGCTTCCCCGAGGCGCACTATTATCAATTGGGACCGAAAACATGGATCGCCGCAGCTGCGGTTTTTTTCTTACTTCTGGGACTATCGCTGATACGGTATAACAGGCCTGGGCGCATGCTTCGCCTTGGGCGAAGCATCTGGTTGGGCCTCCCAACCAGCTACAAAGTTGGTAGCGGAGCTGGCTGTTGGTGGTCAGCTCTAGTTCTATTCTTCAATATCCACGGACGGTACAGTCTGATGGACGACCGACATGGTGGAAATTCTGGGTGAAGTGGCTTTACGCGGAGCAGCTCTGTACCATCGCAAGGACACTTGCAGTGCTGCCGCTGCTTATGCGGAGGTGTCCTACTTGATCCATACCTCTCTACACTACTACAATCCTGAAGTCCACCCACCTACGCCAACTGGCCAGATTTTCGAAGATACGATGCATGGCTTCATGCGATGCGATAGTGTGCCGCTTCCACCCCACGCAGGCTGCAGGTTGACGGCAACGTCACTTCACAAACCACAGCCACATACAACCGACTCTGACCTACGAGGCCATTGGATTGGCATCATTATATGTGGCCTTCTATGGGTCGCCATCGGGTGTGTTGCTGAACATATGCACCGTGGTGGGGACGACACACTCACTACCAGCCCCCACTGGGACCTAGACGGTAATGCACTTTTTCCGCAAGTTCGCTCGCGAGGTACATGCCTGGATCAACGTGACTACAGTCACAATAACCACCTCCCAACAGGCCGCTGCATTACAAAGTGGTTTGGGAGGTCTCGCAAGGACCATAGCCATGAGAGCCCCCCAGCAGTAATCAACTTTGGTGTGAACATTGGCGGCCGCCACACCCACGGCGCGACCTACAAAAGTTTGAGAACTTGGAAGAGAAACGACAACTCAACTCGGAGACGGCTCTCATGGACTTCCGCGTCCATGCGGGGGAGCGGATCGACCAGACGCTGGCCCGCTTTGAAAGAGCACGTCTCGAAGCCGACACCGCGGGGTTCAACATCCCAAACTTCCAGATCTTGACAGTCATATTGTTCAGAGCCCCAGGTGTTGGCATTTCGCGCGCGCAGCAACAACCACAACTTTTGAACCACCAAATGCCAATGGCTCAGCAGCAGTTCGACGCCCTACAGGGGCGCATGAGGGCTTACGCCCATATTGCTGGGCCAACCCCTGGTTAAATCGGTGGTGCATTTAGCCGCGGGAACCGCAGCGATGTCTTTCTTAGAGACACTCTGGCGGGGCAACCTGCCAGCAACGTCCGGAATGGCGATCCACAACCCAACGTGGCCACCGTTCTACTAAGCCAACAAGGTGGCCAGCCCACGGGGTCGCAAGACTCCTGGGCTCGGTATCAGGGGCCGTCGGCAACGACGGTCCCCACCCAAACCACTACCCTCAAAGGTTGGGCCGGGCAACCCGCAGAGTCCGAATTTGACTCTGGCACCGACACTGACACCTCATCAGATAAGGGAATTTGTAACATGGGTTATTCCGACATGCCCGTGCATCTCACTGAAGAGCAGCAGGCCCCGTGGATATTCCTAGGGCGCCAGAAGCACAAGCGCCGATGGAGACGTTTTATGGAGAAACCAGTTCGGAAGGTACGACGTGCAGTCCGACGGGCGTTTAGGTCAAGGGGTAAGGGTAAACGACGGTGGTGCCATGGTAAAGGTACGCTAACATTCCTGGCCTCCTTTACGGGACCACATTACGAGGAAATCTCCCTGGGGAGAGGCAGAGGCCGCATGCGCACTTCGGGAAAAGGTAATGGGGCGCTGGGGTAACCCGAAGGATGTGAACGAGAAAACCATGGAATGTGATACCTGCCATCGCACAGAGCATTTTCGTCGCGAGTGCCCCCAAGGCGACGGGAGAGGCAGGGGTCCGTCGATACATGTGGCTCAAACCGATTCTGGCACTCAGTATGTCGATTGGGAAACCCTTCTTGCCGAATCAGAAGACAACCCTACAGCCGCTGTCCATTTTACGTCCGCTGGCGCTCGTTGAGCGCCAGCGTGCCCTTCGAGAGGTGCGCCAATGAGCTCTTCGAGGAAATCCACGTAGGTCGCGATGATATCGATCTCGCAGACTGGCTGGGCAGTCCTATCGCGGGGCAACCTGCGCACGTGGAGATCATCGCGGGGGCCAACCACCCGCCGACTCGGACGACGCTGAGGCGGGGGCACCTGCACAGTCTGACGGTTACGAGCCGGATAGCTCTGATGACGACACGATACCGTCTACGGAGGAGGAGCTAAATTTTTGGCGCCCCGACCGCAGGTGATTGGGACTCCCACGCGCAGGGCAATTTGCGACGACGATCCGTTGTGGGGCAGGTGACCTTTCTGAGCGGGTCCAGTACGAATTCAGAGGCAATGAAGGCTCTCACTTCACCTTTCTGCTACGCGATCGTTCTTCGAGCCGCAAGGCCTGGAGACGCGTGGATCGCACCGGTGACGATGATGAGGAATGGGAAGCTGAGAGCA